TTTTTTTTTTTTTTTTTTTTTTTACCTGTAATACACCTGTGTGGCTGACCATAAGGGCTAGAAGAATGTGTTGTGACCCTCCAGCAGCTGCCCAGTACATGGCAGGGAAACGGGGTGAAACACTACTGAGCTATATGTAGGACCACAAAATTCCTCAATATTTAATATTTAGAAATTTTTCATGGGATTAAATGAATATAAACCAGTTGGCTCAAAGCTGGATTTTGAAATTTACTTGGGGGAAATTCATATGGTCTTGACTAAAACAACTAGATTCCATGAAAGTACTCTTGAGTTTATAATATTCCTCAATAGCATGCACACATTGCTGCTTTTTGCAGGGGATGTTGACTCACACACCCCCATATCAATTTGCACTACAAATAACATCTTTATGTGCACCAGAGATTTCTCTATCTTTTTGAACAAAACAGCTTTTTGAACCCAGAGCTCAGGATATTTAAGTCACCCAACGATGTAAAAGAAACCAAGTTTTGGTGTTCGTAGTAGATTAATATATTTGATATATGGCATTAATGTTTAACGTGGAAATAGCACATGGAGGTCTAAACAAATATTTATGTTTGGATATGAATCAGTTTGTATAAATTAGCCACAATTTCCAGTTTTCTGGTGTAAATTCCTATAATTCCCAAGTAAAGTGTCTGGGTATTTCTTACCTTACATTTTCTAAGCCTGTTCAAGTTCACCATCGACCCACACAGATGTGAGAAAATGACTTGGTAAGAAACTCTCACCAAGGTGCAATAACTTATAGTACTTTAATCACTCAAACAACACATGCGAGAGCAGATTTCTTAACTAAAAGGTAGCTTAAAGCCACAAACATGGAAAAAAAAAAACTTTTACAGAACATAAGCAGACAAATTCTGTTCATTCATCTTTGAAAATACATGTATACACCTCCAGGTATTTTTTTTAAAGTGTATATTCAAAGAGTACTTAAAAGCATGTTTAAATACTTGATAAACTGATTCAAAAATATTGACTAAACATCAATTTAATTACAATTCCAAGAGCTATGACACATCAATCTTCTCTGCATGTACAACAATGCATCAACACATATATTCATCATATAGTTACTCCTATGCTGATTACTTGACTTCAGTAGTATCAGAAACTGAGAAAACTGGGAAGTGGAGTCATTCATGGCAGAATTAATGCAGCAGACAGGAAGACGCTTCCTGGCATTAATAGACCTATAAAAGATACAAACAAACAGAAAAAAAAAGACAAGCAAAACCTAAATTCTTTTTTTTTTTTTTTTTTTTAAAAAGCTACAACACTGATTATGTGTTCTGTAAACCTGAGCAACTCAGCGCTGTAGCGTTTGCATGCTCTGTGCAGATGGACAGTCTTCGTCAAACCAGATGCTCCTGTCCATCCTGACACACAATATGGTGGTCCTCAGCCTCCACATGGCTCTGTGTTAATTAAAGAGCCTCACTGATCTGCGCGGCCTTCGGACCCTGCAGCTGATTACTGGCTGCAGCTTTTGGGGCTGTTTTGGACGTGATGGAGGCAAGCCCAGGAAGAGGCGCGGTGCATCATGTGTGATAGGGGCGAATCGTTTGAAAGCAGAGCTGTGACAGCTGAAGCTGGAAGCATGTGTGAGGCATGTTTGTTTTGCATTTACCCCTCGACCGCAGCTGTGTGTGCACTGTCCTTTTCCCAGAACACCGGAACGCACAGACGCCCTCACAGCTCGCCCTTCGTTCAACCCCTCAGCTAAAACGGAGGGGAGGGGGCAACCTCATAAAGAATACACATGCACACACGTACCCTACCATTTTCGCCACAGAGTTTAAGATAATGCAGATAATTTTAGAGTGATCTCTGCTGACAGATGATGGCCTGTAAGCTGCTGCTCCAGCCAAACAAAAGGGAAAGTTAATGCGGTTCAGTTTGGGGAAATCCTCTGCCTTTCGACTTGGTGCAGCATTTCAGATTGACTTTTTGAGAAACTGAACATCTTTGTTATGCTTTAAGCCGAAGATTAGCTTTCTGGTCACAGGAAATATGTCCACCCCTATGCTATCGAACTATGGAAAACTTCATTTGTTATTTCTGTCACAACAGGAAGCTATTGCCAGGGGGGAAGCTATTCCTTATTGTTAAAATATATGAATGATATCCCCAGTGAGATCTGAAACATTTGGTTAAATCCATCTGACTTTTATCTGTCTATTCTCCTTCCTGTATCTAGCAAGTAATACCTGTCGTTTTACTGTACACTCAGTTTTAAATAATTGATAAGCAGTCTGAAGGTAAACACACCTTCAATCAACAAAAAAAACCAAACAAAAAATAAAACCTATAATAGCTGGTGAATTTAACTAAAGTTATTTTTAACAATGACAAAAAATAAATAAATTACTTATTTGTCCTAGGCTCTATTATTGATGCCTTACTGTCCTTTTGGCTGTTTTAAATTTATTTTAACATAAAAATAACAATTCTTCCTTTGACGAAAAATGTGTTATGCTAAATTTTAAAATTTGGTATAGCACAAAATTTTATTAATTTCTTTATGTGGAAATTGACCGATTTCTGCTTCTTTGTCATAATGAAGAGAACATCAGACTTTTAGTCAATAACAGGCCAAGAGACAACTGGCCAAGATTTTCTTAACCCTGCTTTAAGCAGTCACCGGTATAATTAGTCTTCACTAAAGATTAGCATAGATTTGGCAGTACAAAAACATAATGACTTAATAGAAAACTTTATTAAAACCTGCTCCATGTGTAGTATCTTTAGATGCTGTTCCACAATGATCTCCTTTTATTTGAATCTGTTTGAATCTGAACACTTTTGGTTCTGTGCTTCTCTTCAGTGGCAACATTTCGAACCAGGACTGTTTATCGGGCCAGTTGTTTCTGGACTGTGCTGAGCTCTTTTACCTTTCCTTCTTTATTGAAAGACATTGAACCTAACAATTACACCCATACTAAAACTCTGCCAGAATGTTGTTCTTATATGAACTTGAAAGATTTAGACTTTTTGACAGGCTTCTTTCATGCTTCACCTGAAATGTAGATTATAATTAATAATTGTGTTATTGTCACATGGTCATCCCCCCTATAAAGACGTTTTTCAATTAACAGTGACTTTGATGCTGTAAGTACTTTGAATAGAGCAACTAGAAAAGAAAAAAAAAGATAAAAAAAAATACCACCTGTTCAACTTTGACTGTGGTTCCTTAATAACTTAACTGCTTTGACAGCTAGACACATTCTTCTTGTTGAAAATCCTTAAAAGTTAAACAATGACAAGTCCTTGAAAAGCCTCAAAGCGTCAACGCACACTTTGCAATCTGTGCTGGTCTTCTCTCCTCTTTCAAACGCGGGGATTGCTTGTTTCTGTGTTATTCCCGAAAGTCTGAGGGCGCTTCCTTCTCTGAAGAAAGGCAAGGGGCTCGGTTGAGTCCACTTGCTAGGGAAAATGTCCTTTTTGGAAAGAGAGGCGCGTCTGTTTCAAGGCTCTCGGGTCCAGAGAGCAGCAGGCCTGCTGTGTGGCCTCCCCTCTCACTTCCTCGTCCATCGCCTCCTCTCTGTGGGCATCAGCAGGCCCACTCAGTGCAGCAGGTGGATCTCCCATCTCGATCAGCCTAATCATATTTCACCCACTCGACATTTAGATGTGAGGAAACAGAACCGCCTACGGGTTTATGCCTTCCTAAACTCGCACTATTAATTTCTTTGCCGGAAAGATATGATGAATGTGAGGAGCTTCTCGACGTGATGGATGTGCAGGATGATTTTCCAAAACGCTTGTTTTTCTTTATAGCCCCTGTATTAGCAAATTTAAAAAAAATTTGCTAATGCTAAAAATATTGTTGATGGGGGGGAAAAAAAAATCATTGTGGCTTAAAAAATTGAACAATGACTTTCAGTTTTTTGTTTAGTTTTTTTTTTTTTGTTGTTGAAGTATCTGCAAAAAGTACAAAGAATTCAGAAGAAAAATAATCCTACAAAAAAAAATTGAATAAAGTAAAAATGAAAACAGCACCAAACTCCAAACGGCATACACTTATAGCAATGCACAGACAATAAACGTGGGCAAATAAGTGCATGAGAGTGTTTGAAATCCTCCTCTTTGTCTGTCTGGACCACAGCATTTCTTTCTATCAGGCTTTTCACACCGACTTTCCTCCAGCAGAGGCACTGAAACCTGGCAAATCTCTGCCAGCCATCTCCGATGCTCATAATCATTTTTGTTGCAGCATTTCTAAAGGCAGTCACTTCTTCCTGCAGAGTTTTGAATTGAGTGCCCCTCGTTCGCGTAAGATCCCCCATCCAGCGTGTGTCGGCGCATCATGTTGCCCAAGAAATGGCAGCACTGTGCTCTTTGGCTTTCATACGCAAAGCAGCGATACTGGAGGATTTGCGGTCGGGATCCATGTTGAGATCGTACGTGTTGATGCCTGCGGCCATGCCAGGAGAGCCGCCAAACAGGCTGCCCATGTGAGGCTGTCCGATGTGTCCCCCGGGGCTGGATACGCCCAGGAAGTCGGAGACCCCACTGGCAGAGTGGGGGTGCGGGGTCATGCAGGTGGTCACGGTGTCGCAGGGAACAACGCAGCCAGGGACAGGAGATGCTGCACTGCTGCCGCCGATCCAGGAGGGGTTCTGGATCTGAAAAGATTGTCAGGAAGGTAGAGGTGTCATAAGAACCATTTTTAAGGTATTTGATTTGTCATGTTCAGACAAAATGATTTACACCTCTCTGCTGGTTGTTTATACAGTAATCTTAGGGACAACAAAGTTTATCTCAATGTTAACCTTGCTTTAGCCAATCATTTTGTTTCATTGAGTGAAATAACAAAGGGCTGTAGGACAGTATGCAACAGGACATGAGAAAATTTAGAAGTACAAACAAACATGAGTTTTGGAGAGATTGATAAGGTGTGCGCCAGAGTCAAGGTTTCAAGAGCGACTGCAAACAGATGCACAGTGTCAAGGAAATGAACTGTAACCGTTGCAGTTCCTTGAATTAGGCCACTTTCAAACCAACATCGGAAACCTAGACAAGTTGCCAGTCCGTCAAAGGACAACACAGGAGAAAAGTAACCAATCATGTACAAACTCCTGGGGTCAATTTAGAGAGACCAGTTCATCTAGCATGCACTCAACACAAATAGAGTTATGAAATATATTATTCGTTTTTTTTCCTGATTCTATAGAACATGGCATTTTTGATATTTATGATGATACTCTACTATACTGGGACGTACCAGTAATATTTTAAGAGACCCCTTGCTAACCTAAAGTCTGAAAAGTTTTATTGGTTATTCACATGAGTTCAATCAAAGGTGAGTATGTTGCCACAGGAAAGCATAGCAGCAAACTGCAGCCAGCTAATATCAATAAAGCTGATGTCTGGCCCACTGCGTTTGGTATAACTCCATTTTAAAAGGATATTTTTATGTTTTCAAATAAACTTGGAATTCACTTCAACATCAGTATTTCAAAATCCCGTGTCCTTCTAATCAAAGTTGGACCATTCTTCACTGAACATAAATCCACTGATGAGTTTGCTAAACTCGTTTTCTAGCTGTAAAAAAAGGAAGACCAAGTTTGGCTACATAAATCGATACAAAAGTGAAAACGACAGGACTGACCAAACCTGAACTCAATTATCCCACTCTTGTTAAAACAAAACTCTCCAGTGCAGACTCTTGTTAGCACTCAATAAACCCCCATTAGGAAAAAATCCCAACCTTTTTTTTTTTTTTTTTTTTTTCCAAATCTGTTTGGACTGTTGTGTTTTGAACACGGTGTAACGTGTTGCTCCCGTACCTGTGCGTAGTTCTCAGGACGCGTCAGGAGCGGCAGCTCGTAAGCAGTTGAGAAATGTGTTCGGACCTGCTGCATCTGACCAAATCGTTCCCTCTTCCTCCACTTTGCTCTTCGGTTCTGGAACCACACCTTGCAAATAAGAAAAAAACAAAAGTTTATACATCTTTTAAGAGAGCAAGAAGTTTGAGGTGACGTTAAAATGAGACTGGAATATCAGAAATGTAGTGTTACCAAACCCAAGCACACTTTTGCTTCAGCTCAAAAGGAAGTACTTTCATCTAGATGTTTTAATTGGGAATCTGATTCTCATAAAAAAAAAAGACAAAAGCCCGCAACCTTAGTGTGAACTCACAAGTCACAAAATTGCAACCCAGACGCAATTAAAGCTGTGCGAGTGTGACTGAGGCGGAGGAGGAGGTGGATGATTTGGAAACAAATTACTACAGACATTCACATGTAGTTTGTGGCTCTAGAATCATCTCACCAATGCTTATTTGTTGTCTGACCACAGTTTGTGCGTTTTCTCTTCCATAATTGTCTTTGACATCTAAATCTCATTGTGTTTACTGCAAAAATTAGTGTGTTTGGCTTTCCAGTAGAGAATCTGATAGTAATCAAAATGTGTTTTTTTATTTTCTTCCTCTTGTTGCTGTAATCATCATCTACCTTTTCTTTTGTAAACAAATCTAGACATCTAAATTTAAACTTTTGGTTTTATTGTCTCCTGAAAATGTTGTCTCTCCCATTGATCTTACCTTTTTGGACACAACTCAAACCAGACTATTTTTTTTCTGCTGCTCTCTTGATATCATGCAAAACGGGGGGATTGAAAAGTGAGATGGGATGATAATTGGTGTTTGTTTGGATCTTCCCCTTTTAATTTCCTGAAGCCTAAAACCTCTGGCTTTGAGACGCAGTCTTCTTCTAAATTACGAAGGCTCGCCGATTTGAGGCCATAATCCCTCTTTCCTTGATGTCTGATATGTCTTCTTTTGAGCCTAATCATCACCACCCAGTCGGAGATGGCTGTCCCTCAAGGTTTCTTTATGGATTTATTGTAACGATCGAGCACGCCACGTTCTCCCTCAAATCCCGAATCCACGAACATCTCAGTTTTTGCCCTGCTTCAAGTCTGTTGGCTATTATGCAGCTCTAACATATTTCTATGTTGCACACACTGCCCTGTGACAGTAATTGGTAAAGACCTTGACAGCTTAAGTAGCTGGTAGACTCTCAATGAGCCTTTATTTATGTTACTGCCCCAGAGAGAAAGAGCAGAGAAATACCAAACTGGCCCCAGCAGGAGGGCTGTTCGGGGGCTGAAAACACTTTGAAGTGAGAGCGCGGCTCAGAGGATTGATAACCCGCCTCTGCTGTCACTCATTTCACCTCCCAAACCAAGTAGGAGAAGAAAAAATAAAATAAAAAAGGGGGGTCTGCTGAGCCCTGGCTTCAGTTTTCCAGCTCCCATAAAACTCTAATAACATAACAGGAGGATGTCTGACCAGTGTTTATGTTCATCATCAGCTATTTTTGTTCTCATTTTCTACAAAAAAAAAAAAAAAAGATAAATAAAAAATCTCTAAATGGAGAACTTGATATTCCCTATGAGGTCATCAGAGGGCACCTGCAGACTGAGGTTAAAGAGATACACCATGAATGTTTACTGTTTTCATTTAAAACTCATTAAAAATACGGTTTATCCGGTAAGACTTGCAGCAGGCTTTCCTGTGCTGTTTGTTGTCAAACTTTTATCGATATGTTAAAATCTGCAACATGTGCTTACGTATTGCCTTTTCTTTGTTCTGGCATCTACAAAATGGGGATAATGGCGTCATGCCTAATTGTGCTAAACATCACACATTAGTCTGGTTCAGTGTCAGACAGAGACAAAAAGCTTAATAGTGCCAGTTCAAACTGTCTGTGCTAAAATGACTTGAATTTAAAATGAGGATGAATTAAAAACACTACTTTTCTTGGTTTCACATTCTATCTTAGGTTAAGCAGATAACTTCACATCATATCATTCACATCATTCATCGGCTCTTTAAGGTGTGCTCCGAGCGTCTTGCCTCCTCTGCCTCCCTGTAGGTGGGATCTGCGTCTCGTCTTTCATCTATAAGCTCACATGGACACCTGTGTTTCCCCGGTGAACTCTACGTCCGATGCCGTCTCGGCTCTCTGGACTATCAGAGCTGCAAATCTGAGAGATGTGATGCTACTGAAACCCCTGACCTGTGACCCCTGACCTTTGCATGTAGTGTATGTGACTCAGATCTGAATTCACCTTCTTCCTTTGAAACCCTGAGACTGAAAAAGCAAACAACGGCAGGCCCTGGCGTTGTTTAACAAAAAGTCCCCCGTTATTTGATGTGCGTGTATGTGAAACGTGAGCCGGTGAGGTCAGTTTGCTCTCCTTTCTTTTGTGAGAAAAAAGCTATATGTTTTGAAGAATGCATTTTTTTATCAGTAGTTTAGGATGCTCTAACATTTCTTTGCTCCAGATGCTGACCTGATGAGTTTTTTTTTTTTCCCCCTCTCTTGCATGCAAATTGAGAGGAGCACAAAACCCTATCCTATCCTGTGCCTTTTATCTTTTTAACCTGAGTGTTTAAGAGGGCTGCTGGGAGAGCCGACGACTGTAAAGCTGCATCCATCTACAGCGGGCAGGTCAGCGATGGCACGAACTGCAGAGCGGCATGCCTTTCAGACTCTGGGTTGAGTTACGGCCCTGGAGGCTGCACAGATTTCCTGTATTTTCCGCTCACCGTTTCAGCTCATCATGTGGGTGATTGTTTTTGATCAGGCTCTTATCTCATCTGAATTGACGGGCGCGGAAAGAGCGGAGCCAGAACTTAAAATATTAGGCTTGCTTTGGGCCGGAACTTGAAGTACGCGTATAACAGTCGCTGACCAAACCAACGGAAACCCATGGGAAAGGTTTCACACCTCCTGGAGACCACAGCAGGGACACATTCTTGTCTGAACGGGTCTTTAATGAAAGAAAAACAAGGAAAATCCAAGGGCTTTGGTCCTCATCCACAGGCACCACACAAAGGCACGGTGCAAGAATATGGCGGAGGTCTCTTTCGCTTTCTCTGATGTGGGAATGCATTACAGCAGTTGCGACCAGTTTCTAAGCTAATTGAGCCTAAAAGGTCAGAGGGGCGCTGTGAGCCTCGGCTCATAGAGAAACTGACAGGAGAGATCTCGCAATTTCAGGAAACTAAACGTTGAAAGTGCAAAGGGATAAAGCCATCAAGACAATCCAACGGAAAAACATTGCAGAGCCATGTGTTGATGAAAGTCTGCTCTCTTTAAACTGCACATATGAGGCCCAGGCAGCTCAAACCTCAGCCCCCCTGATCCACCCTGGGCCCCCTGGCCTCTGCAAGCTCTCACTCCCCCACACTCTCTCTCTGTCTCTCTCTCTCTGTCTCTCTCTCCCCACTCCCACATTACTAGATAAATCTCTCATGTTGTTCTGTGAGTGACTTTATCTCTGCAGATGCTGAAGGGCCCAGGAGGTTTTGTTGTTTAAAGCCTTTTCTCTTGAGAGCTTTTTTTGTGTTTATTTATTTTTTATTTTTTGTTTAAGCATTGTTTCCAGAATAAATGTACCCAACGTCCATTTAGTGTTGTGTTGGCTCTCCGCTCTTACCTGCACTCGGGCTTCAGTCAGGTCAGTCCTCAAAGCGAGCTGCTCCCGGGCGTAAACGTCAGGATAGTGCGTCTTTTGGAAAACCTTCTCCAGTTCCTCCAGCTGGTAGCTGGTGAAGGTGGTGCGGTTGCGTCTCTTCTTGCCCTTGTTGCTTTCGCCACCGTCGACTTTTTCCAGCGGACTCGCCAAGTCATTGCTCGGCGACCTTTCTGAGGCTGCCTTGACACCCTGGTCCTTCACAGCCAAGTATCTGGAGTCCATTCCAGGTGGATCAGAGTCTGGGGCCAAATCAGAGTCTGTCAGGCCTGAACTGTCCTTACCTGCAGAGACAGGAAGTGTGTGAAACTCTCACACGCATTATTTTCAAGCCTTAATGATTGGAATGAAACAACCCTTTGTATATTTGTTGCTATTAAACTGAAGACAAATGAGAAAAATAGGGGAATAATTATAAGTGTAATGTATTGTAGTGGGGAAAATGCAGTGTAATTTTCAGAAGACAGAAAGACGCAGGAGGATATGTGTGTTTGATACATTTGGACCTGAAAGGTATTTTCATTTTTCAGGCGACCTTATTGGCCTGAGTGCTCAGAATAAGTGAGTCCTTGTTGATTTCCAGCCAGATGGACTTTTACTGTATTCCCTCTGTTTCCCATTTATTTCCTCTCCTGCTTCTTTCAGTAAAACCTATATATACACACACATATATATATATATATATATATATACATATAATGAGTGCCATCTTCAAACTATCTAAACATTCTTTTTGCAATCATTTTTCAATACTTTTCTTGCCTTGGCTCACGTGCAAAAATCTGCTGCATATTTTGGTCGTAAATCCAACAAAATCTTCCAATGAAAATCTCTGTGTGATATTTTTTTTGATCTGGGGCCCGTCATAAAGGATTTTCCTCCTGGGAATAGACATGGATCATCTCATTAGCTCTTTCTAATATCAAACAAAAGAAAACGAGGGGCCTTCTTTGACTAAACTTCCAGTAACTGGCCTCTGACAGAGCATTCAGAAATAATGATTTCTTTGTAGGATCGATATTTTAATTTATGAGGTCTGACGGGGAGGCAAAAAGAGATTTCTCACTCTGTGCGATGAAATTTTGTTGTGAAATGTGTTGGCGCAGTGTTTAGCGTGCGGTTGTAAAAGTGGCTGCTTAACCCAGTAGACAACAGTTTTTTGTTTTTTTTTTCCCCTATGATGTGTGACTGAACGTTGCAGATTTCACTCCATGACTAAGACTTCTTAACCACCAGCATTGTCCTCTACACTCATAAACACCTCTCCTTTTACTCTCTCCACTCAGTTGCCGTTTGTCGGTGAAAATGTCTCGGAGTGGCTAAAAAGTCCGTTTTTGCACCAGTATTATCACAAATAAATTAGGCCGTTTCTACAGATCCAAAAAACACAAAAACAACAACAAAAAAATTATTCTCCCTGTTGATTGCACTCACATTTGATTTATTCATGGCTGCAGTTTAGCTGCAAAATCTCAAGCAGCTCTCTGATCATAAATTTTCCAGAGTTTTGCCTCTGCCAGTATTCTGTTGTGAACTAGCAGCTCCTTTGGAAACGTTGTCTGATCCAGCTCAAAGAAAAAAAAAAAAGGACTGCTAATGCATCGCCTCAGTAAAACACATTCCCATGTAGGACATGGGAACAGGCTGCTCAGCGAAAGCTGTCTCACTCAGTTTCAGTAACACAACCTTTTATCAAATTATTTTTAGGACTGCTGACATCGAAAGCTTGTCTGCTCATCCAGCAATTTATCAAGGTAAAAGTGGGAGATGTTTAGAAGTTTCTAAAGCACTTAAAATGTGCCAAACTTTATTATTTGAATTTTAATCTTCTTTAACTGACCTTATTGCTTAATTATTAAGCTGAAATTTAAATTTAAATCTTCCAGATGGTATGGATAATGTATGTATTGAACTTAGCATACATGTTACGCCACAGTATTTTCTTTGAAGATGTGGAGTAGGCATTGTGAGTACTTCTAAGTTCAAATCATATATTAGAACAGTGTTTTTCAACCACTGTTCCGCGGCACACTAGTGTGCCGTGAGTGATCGTCAGGTGTGGCGTGGAAATTATTTAATTTCACCCATGGTACCGTATTTTCCGGACTATAAGCTGCTACTTTTTTCCTAAATTTTGAACCATGTGGATTGTAGCCCGGTGCGGCTTTTCTGTGTATTTTTCTTCAACCACCAGGGGGCTCTCTAGCAGGGAGTGAATCATTAGTAGTCAAAATTGTAAATCGAAGAAGAACGCGTTAATTTTCATTTAGAACAACCACATGCTAGCAGCAGACACGACGGAGAAATGTTTTCAAACTTGTATGATGCAGCTTTTAAGTTGAGGGCTGTCGAGCTGCCACTACAGGAGAGAAATAGAGCCGCTGTACTTAAGCTCGGCGTGAACGAAACCATGGTTAGTCATTGTCTCTCTTCAATTTCTGCCAGAAAATCAGCTAAAGTTTAATACAACTTCTTTAAATTTAAGACCACATTGTTGTGGCCCTGTTCAGGTGTATTTTTGAAGTGGACATGTTACTTGCAATTTGAAATAAGAAATGTAAAATGTGATAAAAATACATTTTTGTGTTTATTAGATTCCTATTCAAGACACTTTGATAAGAATGGCTATATATGTAATATAGGCGACTACAGAGTATCTTTCTTTACATTTTTGATTGGTGGTGTGCCTCGAGATTTTTTCAGTTAAAACAGTGTACCTTGGCTCAAAAAAGGTTGAAAAACACTGTATTAGAAGACACAGAGTTCCTCAAAGTGCCATTCTGGGTTCTATCTTTTATTTTCTTACCTGTTTTTCTATTACATCAGATGATTTAACAGTTCAGGGAAGCTTAAAGTCGTCTCTTCACTGATGATCTCCATTCTTACTGCTTATTTATCATCTCCTGAGGTACAGAAATAGCCCTCTCATTAACTCCCTGGCAAGTATTAGACATGGCTGAATCACTATACAGCTAAATTCGGACTGATAAGAAAAATAACTTAAGCTTTAATTATTGCACCAGACAGTTCCGTATCTACCAATAAACAGCAATTGCTCTTGCAGAAGTGCACTCTCAGTAATAGGTCTAATTTTTGATTAAGCTTTGTCCTTGTGCCGTAATCTAAAACAATTAATAAGAAACACTTGTACAATAAGTGCCAGCAAATGACATTTACTGCAAACTGGGACCATTCCTGTGGACGTTAGTGTCATGAAAGTCACCATGAACAGCAGAAAATTTGGGGATAACAGAGACACACAGTAAGGAAGAGAGACGCGGCACCCCAGGCATCATTCATTCAAGAACCAAGGCTGGGTCTGACACCAGGATCCAAAATCAACAAGATGTCTGATTTTGAGAAGACATAGAAACCGTTACTAATTCAGGAGGTGTTGAAGAAAACTGAACTGGAGTTGTTTCATGTTTCTTATATTGCTTTCGTGGAAATAAAAAAAGCGGAACAGGAAGAAAGCTGTCTTTTTTACTTTTTCTTTTCAACCTCATGGAAGCTTCAAATACATTTTTTAGTTAAAATAATATTTTTTGACATCATTATTTATTTGACCCCTTTTTTGCATTATATACTAACATGACTAATTCTATGAGTTTACACAACTTTCATTATTATGCAGAAACATTTGTGAATTGTGAATTCACTCTTGTGAATTTTTCCTAATATACACATATTAGAAAAAAAAAATGCAGGTTCTAATATCAAAACAAACTCTCCAATACTGGTTCAAACATTTGCTAACAAGAAGACTGCATGTTTTTGACTGACATCAACAAACCTTTGGTACAATTCTGACTCAACATCTGACATACATCATAGCATAATTTGTAGATTTTATTTGAAATGGTTGCTCTCCTGGTACAGATCAGGCTATTTGTCTACAGATATTACTTCTAGTAACATTGAGTAAAGCTGGGCCCGTACAAAGGCTTGACGTTAGTCTGCCTTTTCCATTCCAGAACCACTTCTGATATGTGTCTGGAATCATTGTTGCGGTTCAGGTGTGTCACTCCTAAATAACCAGTGTCCCTCCCCCTCAGCGACCACTTATAATTTATCTGGAGGCGCCCCGGCTCGCAGTGGTAGAGCTGTGCATGCGGTGATTTACTTTACTTTTGTTTTGTTTTACAAAAAGCTTTCTGAGAAACAAAACTCTACAACATAGCTGGAGATAGATTCCCAGTGTACCTGACCGCGTCTTCCTATTGTGCTTCAAAGGGGGGCAAATGTCAAACTGCTGTTGCGTCATGTTTTCTTTGCTGGGACTCGTGGTCCCCATAAAGCACAAGCGCTCAGGCTGTTTGAAATCATGAGGCCTCTCTCTGATCAAAGGATTTTGCCCAAACAGCATCCCTAAGGTTTTTTTGGCAAGACCGTGATATTGTAACAATCTCCTGCTTTTAATCCATTCAAATCGGTCACAGGTGAGACAAATATTAAAACCTCCTGCAAGGAAAGACGTATATATGAACAGCATCGAGACGCAAACTCCAACAAAGACATAATAAGGACTGTATTTGGCATTTCATCTCAACATATGTAAGACTTTTAAATGCAGCTCACACGTAACATTGAGGCAGAGACATTCAGGCGGAGACATCTGTAGAAGCACAATTAATTTCAGTTTTGTCTATCTCTGCTGAAAACGCTGACATAGTCTTCATGTAGAGAAATAACATTGTTTTTGCCATAGCTTTGCATGTCCACAGAGGAGATGCCGAACAATTAGGTGCTTAGAAAGTAGGGTATAAAAAGCAAAGAAAACTTCCATCTGACTTCACTGCAGTTGGCGTAAAAAAGTCTGCTTCCAAAAGCAACATTTACATGTTTACTGATCTAATAATGACCTTAACTCACAGTGTAATGCTGTGAGGTTTGTGTGCATGTCAATGAACAAGTCCTTACGGGCTAGAAGGTCAAAACCGCCCGGACAGATATTACTGCTGCAACATCAAAGAGTAATTTTAACTGGCTGTAAAGCGACAGGGCACCTTCCCTGGCTTTTTACTGACTGCCCTGACTGGGGTCAGCTCACAGTGTTAACAGGAAATACTATAAATTACACACCGCGTATGATAGGGAGAGTGATTAACCACATGCTTCCTAAACAGAAGATGAGCTATCCAATGTTGAAGGAGCAAAATGAGATAAAATGTGGAAAAGGAAATGCATAATATCCATTTTATGATGTTTTAGATACTCAAAGTCCCAGGATCTAATCTGAAAAAGCCACAATATTTTATCATCATTCATTTTTATTATTATTATT